CTCACAAACTAAAAAAGACGGCTGCGTCTTTCAAGCCAGTTCCCAGCTCTGAGCGACTCACACTTCCATGGAATGCTCTGCAAAAAAGGTTCTGAGACTTGCTGGGGCAGGGCTTATGCTGGATTAGTAACGAAGCCAGTTCCCAGCTCTGAGCGACTCACACTTCCATGGAATGCTCTGCAAAAAAGGTTCTGAGACTTGCTGGGGCAGGTCTTATGCTGGATTAGTAACGTCTGCACATATGTGGGAGACTCTGGTGTTGGCTCAGATGCAGGGCTCTGCCATCCTGTGGGGATGGTCACAGTTTGAATGCCAGCACGGATGTGCTCTTTGAGTCTTTTTGCAGAGTCCCCACGCACTGACGATCACATCCGTGATCTGGACACAGAGCACATTATAAGACTGCAGATATTTTTGTTTTATTTATTTATGTATTTATTTATTTTTAAGGTTTTTGCCAAAGGGTGCTTGCACTCACCGGAGACAGACAGACAGTGGGAAAGTGAGAAATCACCCCTCCACCCGGGAGGTATGACTATGCTATAATCCCTTCTCCTCCACTCTCCTCCTGGGACTCTGGGTATACATACCCAGGCAACTGGCATGGGGTTCAAGCCTCCAGGTCTGGGACAAAAACCTTTAAAGAAAATAAATAAAAGCTGACAAAACAAGAATGAACCACAACCGTAAAATGTGCCCAGTCACTGGTTGTGATCATAGTGCATGGGGACTCCGAGAGCCATCCTTCCTGGTCTTTAACTGTGGACATCGCCGCAGGACGGCAGAGCCAGCACCTGTCTCCCACGTACTGCAGACATGACTAATCCAGTGTAGCACCTTCACCCAATGAGCCTCAGGACCGTGGTTGACCATGTGGGGGTCCAGCACCTTAGCTGGCCTCGAGACTGGTTCTTTACGTGAGCCACGCTGGCCTGCGCTGAAGAACTGTAACTACGCTGGGAACCTTGTCCTCTCAGGAGCTAGAAAAGGACTGTTTTCCTCTCGCTCTAAGTCCCACCTTTCTGTGCTGGAGGATGCTGTCTTCTCTTTACCCCTGGGGGCCCACTGAGGCCAGGTCACATGACATCTAGCTCCTCCTCACCACCCCTGACCTGCACCTGGCTCCTCCTCACCACCCCTGACCTGCACCTGGCTCCTCCTCACCACCCCTGACCTGCACCTGGCTCCTCCTCACCACCCCTGACCTGCACCTGGCTCCTCCTCACCACCCCTGACCTGCACCTGGCTCCTCCTCACCACCCCTGACCTGCACCTGGCTCCTCCTCACCACCCCTGACCTGCACCTGGCTCCTCCTCACCACCCCTGACCTGCACCTGGCTCCTCCTCACCACCCCTGACCTGCACCTGGCTCCTCCTCACCACCCCTGACCTGCACCTGGCTCCTCCTCACCACCCCTGACCTGCACCTGGCTCCTCCTCACCACCCCTGACCTGCACCTGGCTCCTCCTCACCACCCCTGACCTGCACCTGGCTCCTCCTCACCACCCCTGACCTGCACCTGGCTCCTCCTCACCACCCCTGACCTGCACCTGGCTCCTCCTCACCACCCCTGACCTGCACCTGGCTCCTCCTCACCACCCCTGACCTGCACCTGGCTCCTCCTCACCACCCCTGACCTGCACCTGGCTCCTCCTCACCACCCCTGACCTGCACCTGGCTCCTCCTCACCACCCCTGACCTGCACCTGGCTCCTCCTCACCACCCCTGACCTGCACCTGGCTCCTCCTCACCACCCCTGACCTGCACCTGGCTCCTCCTCACCACCCCTGACCTGCACCTGGCTCCTCCTCACCACCCCTGACCTGCACCTGGCTCCTCCTCACCACCCCTGACCTGCACCTGGCTCCTCCTCTCCACCCCTGACCTGCACCTGGCACCTTCTCACAGTCCTGACCATTCTCTCCTCAGCTCATTCACAGCTCATGGGAAATGCCTTTTGCCCTGAAGGAGGGTGGTTAGAGTTTTCCGAGAGTTGATGGCGAGCCAGGGACTCACAGACCCTGTTCTCTGTCTGGTTCAGGGTTTCTGTGGCCTCAGGCAGGGCTCTGACCAAGCGAGGTGGGTTTCCAAGGTCCCTGTCCTGTTCCTCATCCCTTGGTCCCTGCTCTAGTCGGACACCTGAGAACACTGCTTCCATGTGTTTAGGGAAGGGCAGATCCAGGCTCGCACTGTGCGGATCGGGCTCCGCGTGGACTGGGACGCCGAGCAGCGGCCTCTGCTGTGGACGCGCCTGTGCAGTGGCCGGAAAGCAGCGCAGATGGCGAGGGCTCGGGAGGCCTCAGGTGACAGCGGCGGGTCCCGCGGGCGCCCTCATTCCCTACTCCCGGCAGCCCTGCAACCTGGGCTCTGGCCTTGGACCCTTCTCCTCTCCCCTCCCCTGGGCTCTCTCTTATTTATGTATTTATTTATTTTTAAAGATTTTGCCAAAGGGTGCTGCACTCACTGGAGAGAGACAGTGAGAAAGTGAGAAATCACCCCTGTCACTCCTTTCTCCTTCGCGCTGCGCTGGCACCTTTGGTAACTCTTCCCTTGGCTCCCGATACAGTTCTTGAGGAGCCCTGGGGCTCCCCGCTCTTGCCAGCCCGCGCCGGCTTCAGCCCTTTCCCAGCCCCCCTGCCGGTTCAGCTCGCCTCCCGCACCAGCCCTCCAGGAAGAAAGGGGCAGGCACTTTTCACCCCACGGAGCCTCGCACCCCACTTACGGTGAACCGCCACAGCCCCCCGAGGTCGTCGCTCCTCTCGAAGCAGGTGGGCTCCAGCCCCTCCTCCAGACAGCACTTGACCGCGGCCAGGCCGCTGACCCCGGCTCCCACGACAGCCACCCGCCTGGCCATGTCCTCCTGCGGGGACCAAGCAAGTCTTTTATTCACCCAGCTCCCACCCTGCCTTGGCCGCGCTAGCAAGCCAGGAAAGGCATCTGGAAGTTGAAGGGATTTGCAGCGCTCGTCCCAGGCGGCCCCTGGAGTGGGAAAGGGAGCGGGTCACCAAGCGGCTCGCACGTTCCCACTGGAGCAGAGGGCGCTAAAGGTCCCCCGCAGTTGCGGTGGGTGGAGGCTGAATTTCTGGCAGAAGGACTGAAATCAGACCCGCCTGGGCGGGTTCCACGCTGTTCTGCGGAGCCTCCAGCCTCCTGGCTCTGCCCCAGAATGGAGAGGAACACACCAGGGAAGGGGTCACTTCCTCAGACAGCCTTACATCGCATTCACGAGGTCCAGCCTGGGGTGGTGACATCCGCAGGGGCGCGCAGAGGCTGCAGGTGGGACCAGGAGGCAGAGATCCTGGACCCCGCCGGGGCTGGATAGTGCTACCAGTGACAGTCACCTGCCCAGGGACCTGCCAGGCCCCTCTGGTCACCAGAGGGGCTAACAGGGAGGCTTTGTGGTGGAAGAGGCCTGGAAAACCATCCCTGTCCTCTCACCCTGACACTGCTTCCTCAGGCACAGAGTCTAGCCACTGGCACAGCTGGAGGTTCTGGCCCCAGGCCCCACTGGGGAGTTGGACTCAGAAGTGCCCTGAAAGCTTCAATTCAGAACCAGACCCTAATCCGGCTGCCTTGCTAACCGGCTCTGTCGGTCACTGCTGCGTGACCCTGGGCAGATTGTTTGAGCTCTGTGCATCATAGCAGTGGAGAGAATAAAGCTACTGTAACTTCCTTGCAGCCTTTCATAGGAACCAAGTGAGTTAACACATAAAGTGGCTTAGAACAGTTTCTGGAACATAACGGGCCTAGTTAATTGCTAGTTAAGTATTAAGCTGATGTAACTGTAAAACAGCTTTCCTCTGCAGCCGCTCACATCAGTGAGCCCCTGCCCGCCTCTGCACACGTCAGCACCCAGGGATATGACGTCAGACGTGTCTACTATCTCCGACATGTGTTTATTTTTTTAACTGTATTTCACTTATGTATTTATTCATTTATTTTAATTTGCCCAGAGAAGGACAGAACAAGCAAGCGAGAGAAAGAAAGGGAAAGCAAACTGCCAGGTCCAGGACTCGAACCATGGTCAGCCATGTGGGAGTCCAACATCCTTAACCACCATGCCACCTGCCGGCCCCCCGACATGTGTTTCTCACATCCTGTTATTTCTACCTTCACTTTTAACAGAATCTGGTTTTGTGCCTATTTTATCTCCTCAGGTGTGTAAGTCTGAGAGTGCAGAGGCGTCCTCGGAGACATGATTGTCCAAAACACGTCGTCGTCTCTGCGGCAGACGGACTCGCCCCTCAGAGTTGGACAGGCAGGTTTTAGTTTTTGGGTTTGGAAACCTGGGAGATGCAGCCACAGACACTTCAGCAGTCGGTTCCCTGCTGAGTCGCCTGTCCGGGCAGCCCTAGGAACAGGTTATAAGAGATGCTCCATGGAGAATTTTGAGTGAAATGAAGAGGAGCCTTTTCTCAGGCACCATAAAGCCTGGCAGAGCGAGTCATTTTCTGTAGCAGGAAATGAGGTACCAGGAGAGCTAGCAGATTCCCTGTGGGGGAGGTCGTGACAGGGCCTGATGGGCACGGTAGATCAGGAACCGTACAGACGTCCCCCTCTGTCCTGAGACTGCGTGACCCTGCTCTTACAGAGCCACTGTGTGTGGGTGGCGGCCAGCACACCTGTGTCAGTCCCTGCTCTTAGAGGCCACTGTGTGTGGGTGGGGGCCAGCACACCTGTGTCAGTCCCTGCTCTTACAGAGGCACTGTGTGTGGGTGGGGGG